TCCTTTTGATCGTACAAGAAGAGGGTGAGAACACCTGTCCACCATATTACAAATGTGACTACTCACAGTTCATCCTCTCGTATAACCATTGGAACATCGACAACACATCACTCATAAACTTGCTCGCCATTTACCATTCCAGCCCCTTGTCTAAAACCTTCCTAATTACACTTTGCATTGAGGGCATGACCTTCTCGAACACACCATCGTTGCGGTGTTTCCAATTTTGCCACAACACCAAGGTGACGAATTTTAGTAGATCTTCGAAGATTTGTAGCGAGTGAAGGGAGGTGCCCCAAGGAAGCAAGCGATCTTCCGAGGATGGCATTGAATCCGGTTGCCCCCCATGCAGTCAAGGTCTCAAACCAGATCGCCCTAGCAAACGGGCAAGCAATCAACATGTGGTCTATGCTCCTCGGCCTAGTCACACAATGGGCATGCCTCCTTGTGTGGCAATCCACTGATGAGACCATCAGATGTCCAACATCTGTTCCTAACCAGCAGAAAAATTTGCATCTCTATGGAGCTCTCGATTGCCATGTAAACGTTACTCCCAAGTCAAGCTCCCGGCCCATGAATAGACTGGTGTAGGCCGAGTGCACAGAGTACTGACCTGAAGCCTCCCAAGCCCATGTTACGATGTCTGCAGCCATCTCCCAGAGTGTCAAATATTCGGCCAACCCATCTGCCGAAAGATCAGGTCTTAAATCTCGTGGCTCGCAATCCGATTTGTTGGCAAAACAGAAAACAAGCATATGTCACGTACTTTTTCCATTAGTTACTGATGATCTTGGCACGTGTCCTAGTAAGACCAGTAAGCGTGCACGTGTAACGTGCACGTCTTATAATCTACAATAAAAACATCTATTTTGAATTTTAGTAATTATTGTTTAGCGAGTTTCTTTTATCAAGCCACTTAAATATGTCCCATGTGCAACGATGTGAGCACGTGTAACACACGTCTTCACATAAAATTCACGATCACATAAATGTATTACAGTTAGTTATAAAAATACTCAAGAAACAGTAACTAAGCAACATCCTCTACAATTAATTCTTTGATGGTTCTTTCTTAAAGATCAATCTAATTACGCGGTCTATAATGCTTAGGTCTTTGTTCCATTGCTGGTTAGAGCTTAACTTCATGCATACTTCAAAATATGTATCAAAAATCGCCTCCTCGGTTCAATGTCATCCTACATATGCATTTATACAACAATGTTATAAAAACAAATCATGTGCAACATGTATACCTAGTTACTTTTCAAATAACGATACACCATAATAATTATCAAGATACATACAAAATATACTCCCTCCGTCCCAAAATAAGTGACTCAACTTTGTACTAGCTTTAGTACAAAATTAGTACAAAATTGAGTCACTTATTGGGACGGGAGGAGTACATGTTTAGAAGTATCGGGTGAAAAATTCCCATAAAGTACTCCATAAAATTTAACATCCACATACTGCAGGATGAACTGCACGATTACAGAATTTGAATATATTAAAAAAATATCAATTTATATCAATAGTTTTATAAAAAATTGAAATCATTAAATTATCAGGATTGAACATCAGTACAGACACAAGCGTTCATATATACACGCATACACTCACCACTATAAACGCACACACCCACACCCTACCCCGATGAGCATCTCCGAAAGACTGAATCGACATATCATCTTGAAATTTACGAAGTCACTGTAGTCACCTCGTCGTCGACGGGAACGTCTCCTCCTACTGAATGCGCATCGCCAAAAATTAAAATCATTAAATTATCAAGATTGAACATTTCTTTTTAACCCCTGCCCTATCTACAAGAAAAATCGCACGACTCACAGCTAAACAGGACACGCTCTAATAATCCTTAAAAAAAGACACACTGGAAAAAGAAAAATGGAGGATAACGCCCAGAGCTCCACACTCACTCTCACGGTCTCAACCCCGTCACCACCACCGCCCCGCGAGTTGTCTCCCAGCCGTTACCCATTCCGTACTCGCCAACGCCCTCTCTCGACCTTGTCCCTCCTCTTCATCCCTACCTTCAGCGCGAGGACTCACACGCCCTGCTCTTCCCCGGCCCGTCCCGTCGAATCCGGTCGCCGAAGTGCACGAGGAGGCGCTCCAGCTCGTCATGCTCGCGGGCGAGCCAGCCTTAGGCGCCGTCTGAGGCGGACGCGGAGGCGCGGGACTCACCGGCGGCGACGCCCTGACCCGCCTGGCCTCACCCGCGGTGAGACACGCCGTCCGGCATCCCCGCGCCCAGCTCTGAGTATGAAGGCGTGGAGCAAGATAGCGGGCCACGGGCCACCGTGGCCGTGGCGGCGGGTTGTGGTGGTCGGCCTCGGGGAGGCGGCGACGATTGCGGCGCTGAGCGGCTCCATGGCGAGCGCGGGGCGGGAGCGGTGGAGGTTGGTGTGGCCACGGAGAAAGTTAAAGAGCGAGAGCGTGAGGGGCTGGCCATCCTCGCGCAGCCGGTTGAAAGGGGGCTTCGATCCCGTCTGATGCAGTTATTCCTGGGGTTCCCGTATAAGCGCTATCTACGGTGCCTCAGCTCAGCCTACGTACGGCGTCGCCCATGGATCCTCATGTC